GTTAAGAATGAATGTCCTTACGGTAATGAAAACATTTCATTAATTCAGTATATCAGTCATTCAGTCATATATGGTACATCCATTAGCATAACAGTATAGTAAACAGTAGGTCTTAAAAGACCGAGCAGTAAATGATGGCCATCAGTCAGTAACAGTAGTGGTTCCAACGAGGGAACCGACAGAGATCTCTGTAACAGTAACAGTAAACAATAGTTGCTAAGGATGCCACAATACAGTTCAGAATATAGGACATACATTCATTCAATTAACAGTAATAATTCAGAAAGCAGTACAGTTCACTTGTTCAGAAGATAATCATTTTAAACATATCTTTACACAGTTGTTACTCACAGAGTTCTGGGCTACAGTAAGGCTAGAGCGTCTCCTCGGAAAGCCAACCCTACACAGTTACAGATTGAACACACACTAAGCTACACAGTTGGGAAGAATAATAACTTAATCCCTAATTGCCTTGGTGTGTTCTATATCTATATCCTCATTAAGATGCCTTAAACTAGGCCTAAGAATGCCTAGGATGAGATGAGGATGCAAAGATGCACTTTAAAAGCATATTCAGACTTTTCAGAAAACATGGGTCACGCTCAAGCGTAGGTTAATCCGCTCAAGCAGATATGCAGACAAAGGTTTCCGCTCGAGCGTAGACTTACTCGCTCGAGCATTCTGCAAAACAGTCAAAAGTGCTAGATAGACAAAAATCACGCTCGATTGGGCGCTCGACACTCGCTTGAGCATGAGACACAATGCCCCGCTCGAGCGTCAATTATTCCGCTCGAGCGGACTTCAAAACAGAACAAAATGCTGGGAGCACAATTTCCACGCTCGAGCGCCAGTCACCCCGCTCGAGCGTGAGTCCAAATTCTGGAAATTCCAGATTTGAACCTCAAGCTCAAAACCAAGTTTTGAACCATAAATTTCGATCCTCTTGGGCAAATTTTCCAGAAAACACATCAAAACTCATACTTTAACATGATTCAAAGCTCAATTTGTGAAATCAAAGCCCAAGGGTGTTTCAAATAAATCCAATTCAAACCAATTTCCATGAATATGAAGAACATGCAAACATGCATGAATTTAAATCATTTCAAAGCTTCAATTTGATGCTCTAAGGAGCCAATTGTTCCAACAACAAGATGAAAACATGAACTTAACATAACCATGAGCATGCATGAGACAATTCTCCATGGAATCAACTCAAATTCAATAATTCAAACATGCATGCATGGAATGAGCTCCAATTCAACATTAATGAACCAATTCTTGACTTAACTCTTTAATTAGACATGAACCATGCAAGAATGAACTTAAACACAATAATGAGGGGTTGAATTTCCTTACCTAGGTCTTCAATTATAAGAGTAGAAGTTCAATTAGGCAATTCTCCTACAAATTCTCCAAGTCTCCAAGCTAGACTCTCACTTGAACTCAATTTCTCTCCCTCTAACTCTCTTGGTCGGCGAAACAATGAAAATGGCTGATGAATTGTGTTGATTCAATGTGTATACAAGTCTCAAAGGGTGTGAGGTAGTGGCCACTAGTAGGGCAAGGTTGTAATTAAGTCAAGTTGTGCAATTTAACTCATTTTAATCTAATTTAATCATATCTAATCAATTTTCAGGTAAATATGCCATAAAATCATATAAATCACGATGATCATAAAACACTAATCGGTTTCCGGTTCGGCCGCCGATATGGCCTTTAATTCGCAATTTAAACACAAAAATATGAACAGATAGTCAAACGGTCAAACAAATAGAAACGCATTTAAACAGATACAGTTTACCAATCAATTTTAGATTTCAGTCAGTCAGTTCAGTAGTTTATTCAGTTCACTTATCAGTCATAATCAGTTTCAGTTTAACGGTAATCAGTGGTTATTCGGTAAACAGTGATGAGGGTTATTACAGTAGGTGTCATTCTGTACGGAGCTTTAGATACAGGCTGTGTACCCGGAGTCATATCAATGGTGAACTCAATCTCCCTATCAATCAAATCCCCTGGCAGATCATCTAAAAAAATATCTGAGAATTCTCTGACTATAGGAATACTGTTCACATCAGTTTTATCATCAGTAGGTACAATCAATACAGAACACAGATACCCTTTACATCCTTTTCTAATCAATTTAAAAGCTTTCATGGATGAAATCAGGTATGGGGGAGGTACTACTCCAACTCCGTTAAACACAAATTCAGGCAGTCTGGGTGGACGGAAAACAACTTGTTTTGTTACACAATCTATGGTAGCATGGTATTTTGTTAACCAATCCATTCCCAATATCACATCAAAATGATCTATATTCAATGGCAGTAAATCAATATACAGATGCGCATCTTCAACAATAATCTCACATGCAGGATACATATAAGCACAAGTCATGGATCCCGCAACAGGTGAAAATACAGCTAACAGATAGTTCATGGGTTCCAATGGTCTATTCAATTTTCGCGAAAAAGCATGCAATACATATGAATGTGTAGACCTCGAATCAATCAAAACATATGCATTTTGAGCACAAATTGAAAGTATACCTGACACAACGGTCTCAGTATTCTGTACATCTCCCAGTACGAGTGCGAACACTCGGCCTTGCCTCATAGGCTCTTTTCCAGTCGCTTTAGGGTTGGGTTTTGGTAGAGCAGTTGATGCTGCGGCGCTTGGTGCAGCTTTACTATTGCCTTGGGAAGTGGAAGAGCAATTTTTAACCATGTGGCCCACCTTGTCACACCTGTAACAAGCACCAGAGATTTTATAACAAACCCCCTTATGATTCTTACCACATTTGGAGCAGGGTGGTATAGAACGGTTTCCTTGACTAGAACTAGTCGTTGACCCTGTATTCTGCTTTTTGTTTAATGGGTTGTTCCGGTCTTTCTTAAACTTAAAACCCTGTCTTTTACCATGCCACTCGGTCGATGGTGTTTCAGTCTGTTTCAATGCCTCGATGTTCAACTCAGCCATGATTGTTCGATCAAGAACATCCACATACTTCAACAGTTTAAAAACATTAATTCTGCCATGAATTTCTACATTAAGACCGCCTTCAAACTTCCTGGCCTTCTTGTAGTCAGTGTCCACCATGTGTGGTGCATATCGGGCAAGTTTAGTAAACTTTGACTCATACTTAGCCACGGACATGGTACCTTGTTTCAGTTGTTCAAATTCGGTCACCTTTTTGTCCCTTACACACTGTGGGAAGTATTTCTCAAAGAAGGCTCCCTTAAACTGAGCCCAAGTCATAACGGTGTTGGTGTCACGGACTAGCATCCACCACCTTCTGGCCTCTTCTTGTAAGGTGAAGGTAGCCAATAGGACTTTGTGTGCTTCAGAACACGGAAACACTTCAAATAACTTTTCTATTTCAAGCACCTACGCTTCGGCCTTTAAAGGTTCAAGGCCTCCCTGAAAGGATGACGGTTTCATCTTACTGAACTTCTGTGTCAGAGCTATTATATCATCATTAACAGGTGGCTCTGGCTGTACTGGAGGAGGTGGGGGCTGTTGGTTCTGTTGTTATAGCCTTAAGGCCTCAGTCAACATTTCCACTGTTCTCTCTAGCCTTGCCATTCTGGCCTCAGATGATTCAGATTCATCAATAGTTCTTGCGTTATCCATTTCACTATAGACAATTATGGCAATTATAAACATAGGCAGTTGTATACTTAAACACATTAGCACATTAGCACAGATGTTCATGTCTTGGCCACACACACTTATCAATGTTCATGCAATGCCCTATGTACTTTTCTAGGACATCTTACAGCTCATTTGGACACGTGTGTGCGGTATAACTCGTGGTTTAGTATCGTTCTGATACCACTCTGTCACGACCCAAACCCGCCCCTATGGGTTTAGTACCGTAACCGGCCAGTAATCCGAGATTACCAAAGGCCTTCTTAACAGTAATACAGTAATACAGAGTACAGGGGCTAGCAGAAGCCAAAACAGTAATTAAAAGATGTCCAATGAGTTGTGACAGTCTGTATGCAAAAAAGACTTTTCAATACACATGTACAATCAGTACCACAATCATTCAGGACAGGGACTTAATCCCTATTAGAACAGTACAGTACAACATCATTCAGTCTATACAGAACATAAACAAAGAGGGGAAAAACTCAAACACCCCAAGCAGCCTCAGCTTGAACAGTTCTGGAACCTCAAAGTGAGGCACAAAGGTTGGCTTAACAAAACAAGAGTTAAGCTTGACGCTCCTAGCAACGGTCCGGTGCCTGAACACCTACATATATATATGAGTAGTGAGCTAAAGCCCAGTGAATAACATATGCGTAAAGAGGTTAAGAATGAATGTCCTTTCAGTATTGAAAACAATCATTTAAACAGTATATCAGTCATTCAGTTTGTGGCTCATAATCCATGCCATAACAGTCATTCAGAAACTAAAGTAGTCATATGTGGTACATCCAATAACAAAGCAGTACAGTAGGTCTTAACAGACCGAGCAGTCAATGATGGCCATCATATCAGTAAACAGTAGTGGTTCCAAACATGGGAACCGACAGAGATCTCTGTAACAGTAGTAGTAACAGTTCAGTAACAGTATATTGATATGGATGCCACGAATATAGTTCACAAATAGGACAAACATTCATTCAGTAAACAGTGTCATTTCATAAAGCAGTACAGTCATTTGTTCAGAAAATAATCTTAATTGAATATATCTTTACAACATTATTACTCATAGAGTTCTGGGCTACAGATAAGCTAGTACGCGTCCTTGGATGCCAACCCTACACAGTTACAGAGTGAACACACACTAAGCTACACAGTTGGGAAATAATAACTTAATCCCTAATTTGCCAAAAAATGTGAGATTAACTTTATTTTTTTCAAATTTTAAGGAAAGTGAGTGTAATTTACCTTAAAATTTTCAAGCTATGCTAGAGAAGCAGATAAGTCTATCTCTCCTCTCTCTGTCTCTTAAATTCTCAATTGTAAACTAATAATTTAATGTAATTGTTAGAATATATCATCACCTACCACCTCCACTCAACTCACCTACCACACACACTCACCTACTCCCCAATCCTCTCCTATATAATTAGTACCTCACCATCTGTAATTTACACATCAAAACATCCATCAATCAATCAATAATACATCAGTTTATTTTACATGGTATCAGAGCAAGGTTAAGAACCTAATATTTTCGTTCCACCGGCGGGCGGCAATCTCGCCTTGGCCGCCCGCCGGACAAACCCAGCAGCTCACACACACACCCATCACCTCTCCCTCTCGACCACTAGCTCCTTCTGTTGTGCCCATTGATTAACTGGAATGCTAACCTTCAATATGTTTGTTACCAGAAAAGCATTAATGGGTTGGTCAAAGTTCATAGGCCAAGTGGCTATAGGCACTCCCATGGAAATACTGTCCAAGCATGAATTCCATCCACAGTGACTCATGAACCCACCCGTTGATGGGTGCCCCAAAATTTGTAGTTGAGGTGCCCAATCTCTCACCACCATTCGAGCTTCTTTCATTCTCTTTTCATACCCTTCTGGCAGTTCACCTCTCTTGACATCTTCTGAAAAAATGGATCCCTCATCTGCATGTCTGAACACCCAGATGAACTTCTGCTCACTTTGTTCTAACCCAATTGCAAGCTCTTCGATTTGTTCGTCTGTCATTGAAGTTGTCAATCCGAACGAAACACACAACACAGAATTTGGAGCTTGCTTATCAAGCCACTCCAAACATTTGTGTTGGCCTTTTGAATTTAAGCTATCATGTAAGTTAAATGGCCCAATTGCCCTTGTTTCTGGTTTGCAGCAATGTGTTTCTTTACTAACAAATCGATATAAGGACCTTCGATTGATCTGCATGAATTAATGATACTTCCAGATCTAAAATCAGAGTGAAGAATTGAAAGATTTACAAGCTCAGGTGCAGTGACTGTTGGGATCTGGGATCCCGCCCAAGACCTTGTAGAAATTATTCCATGCGGAAAAACACACCCACACTCAAGGAGACATAATATTTAACGTGGTTCGGCCTCAATGCCTACGTCCACGGGAGAGTAGCCGGTTATCACTATAACAATGGAAATATTATAGAAAGATTACAATAGAGGAGGAGCTCACACTCTCCTCACTCACACACTCACCCGTCTCCCTCGCTCACACCGAGGGAGACGGTCTCTCCGCCTCACATATTTCACTCTCTGTGGCTTGCTCTGCTCTCACTCTCTCTCTCCAATTAAAATCTCCCCTCAGCCTCCATTTATACACTAACAGAATAGGAGATGAAGAGGGGCTGGCCAGCACATGGCCAGCTTGTGCCAACTCTCTTGTGTGTTGGCTTCACATGGCCAAAGGTTGGCTAACATGGCAGCTCATGTGTGTGTTGACTTTGCACATTGCCAACTCCTTCTTCACATGGAGAATCACCCCTCACATGGGGTGATGATATCCCACAAATCACCCCCTCAGCCCATGTGAGGTGATCCACTACACACATTGCTGCTAATCTTGTCACGTCCAAATTCAACATAGTTTGCATCTCCTCACTGAGACGCTGCATCCTTTGAAAGCTAGAGATAATACACCAGAGATACAAGAGGAGGAGGGAATCCTACATCCTCAACTCAACTCACACCACTCTCTGATTTGGAGAGAGCCTCTGCTCCTATCTCCCACAGATCTCTTCCACGCTTCTGTCTCGGATGTCTATACCTGCTATGCTTGAACTTGCGCAACCAATATATCCGACACCCCCTGATTGGATGTCCTGCACCCCCTGCTGGGATGCCCTTGACTGTCATGCATTACCGTGCAACTCCTTGCAGGATGAACACGGGAGCAACTAGAAAATTTCAGAGTTTGACACATCAACATCCTCAATTTTCCTTGCTCGGAGCTTATTTCTAAACAACCAGCCTTTGCTTTCTGCACTTCAGAACAACTTTCCAGCGATCTCATACGCCCGTTGTCTGTACTGCAATCCCTGACGTTCGGTTCTGTCTCACTTGTACGTCCATACTGATGTTTGACAGTTAGCCCTTCTGCCAAGACAAATTCCACCGGTCTGTACAAGTTACCACTATGCAACTCCGTGCATAGTGCTTGCACCCCCTTATTGGAGTGCATTGCAAAGTTCACTTTGCGACTTGAGATTGCATCCCTCCCTTCCATGCATCTTTTGAGAGGTTGCAAAATGTCTCTAACACGGAAGCAAAAGAAACTCTCTTCTTCACTGGCATAGTCTCTACAGACTTGGTTTCTTTGCTCTGAACTTTCTTCAAGATTGGCTTCACTGGCTCAGATCTGTGCACCTTTGAACTGCCTCCTTGCGTTCCCGTGCACCGTTTTCGCCATTCCTGATGAAAGCCTTGCTCAATCATACGCTTTGGTTGCGTATGTTCTCTCTTTGTACCCTTCGACTGGCATTTGACAACACTCATCTTTGTCAAAACTTCTCCTTCCAGTCTGTACAGTTTGTTGCACAATTTGCCTTGCAACAATTCTTTATCACCTCTGTGTACATGAAGAACCCCGCCACTAGATGAGAAACAATTTCCTTTTAGATCTAGCATACTCAGGGAGATTAGATTCCTCCGTACTCCTGGCACATGTCGGACCTCAGATAAAATTACTTTTCTTCCAACCTTAGTAAGGAACCGCATTGTCCCTATGCCGACAACTCTATTCACTGTGTTGTTGGCCATTCGGATAGTGCTACCGTTGACTCTTCGATAAGTAGAGAAAAGCTTCTTATCCGCACATATGTGGAACGTACACCCTGAATCCAAAATCCAGCCGGGTGTCTTCAACTCTGACGAGATTGTAAGCATCACCTCTTCATCGTCAGAGGAATGCACTGCAACTGCTGTAGTTGAGGGACCTCCGTGTCCCTTAGCCTTCTCTTTGGCTTGTCTGTCCGCCTTTTTCTCTGGGCAATCTTTTATTACGTGATCCTCTTGATCACAGTAAAAACACCTCCTCATGTTGTCCTGTCTGGACTGTGAACGCCCTCTGCTTTTACTTCTTCCTCTACCTCTGCCCCTTTCTCTATCTCTGCCTCTACTTTCTGTGACAAGGGCATGAGACTGCTCTCCTTCCATCTCTTTCTTCCTTGCCTCCTCGTTGAATAAGGCGTCTGTGACCATCCCCATGGTCAGCTTCCCTTCGGGTGCAGAATTACTGAGAGAAACCACCAACGTCTCCCAGCTGTCTGGTAAGGAACTGAGTAATAATAATGCTTGCATCTCATCCTCCAACTCCATTTTGATTGATGCAAGCTGGTTCACAAGGCTGTGGGATTCACTGGTGTGTTCAGGAACAGACACACCATTCTTCAGCTTCAGGTTTATAAGCCTTGTCATTATCAAGGCTTTGTTCCGTGCGGTCTTAGACTGGTACATGCCCTCCAATTTCATCTATAGGGCATAGGCGTCTGTCTCTTGGGCAACATGGTGGAACACACTGTGGTCAATCCACTGTCTGATTTGACCGACAGTCTTCCGGTTGGTTTTTATCCAGTCCTCATCCTTGTCTCCATCTGGTTTGACCCCCTTTAGCGTTATAGGGTCAAACAAATCTCTACAATACAGGACGTCCTCCATCCGCGGCTTCCATATCGCATAACTAGAAGCGTTCAACCGAATCATCGGCCCTGAAACTGATGTGGATTCCTCCATCATCCAGAAAGTAATCTCTATTTGAAAAACAGGCTTTGCTGCGAAGTCCGGACTGCTCAAATTAGCCGGAAAAGTACTTCGGATTGCCAAAATAAAAACTGCAAATTTTTAAAAACTTATTTGCAAAATTTGACCATACGGATGTGTCCGAAATACTCCAAATAGTCGGAAACCACTATTGGATCACCAAAAACGGACTCCAAATGGCTTCGATCAAGCCAAAACAATTTTAACGGTTCAGAAAGATTACAATAGAGGAGGAACTCACACTCTCATCAGGTTTTTGGTGTACTGCTGGTAGCTGTTGGTTTTTTTTTTTTTTTGTGTTTGTTAGCAATTTGTATGAAGATAGCCCTTTGGGTTGTTTGCTGCTTGGGTTGTATAAAGATAGCCATTTTTTATTTTTATTTTTTGTTTGTTGCTTGGGTTGGTCTTTCTTTTTTCTTTTTTGAGAAATTTTATTTCAGATAGCCCTCTGTATTACATGACCTTTCTCGCTGTAATTTCCTTGAAGCCATAGGCATCTATATGAATTCAGTATTCCAATCTTTCTGTTAAGTTTGGTTAATGTTAGAAATTTGAAGTTATTGAGAAAAATCCCACCAGAAAAAAAAAAAAAGAAAAGAAAAAGAAAAAGATGAGTAAGTTTGGGTTCTGCAAAAGCTTTTTTTTTTTTTTTAAAAAAAAGAAAATATTTTAGGTCTTAACAAACATATTTTTTTAGTTTATATTTTTAAAAAATTTCAAATATTTTGTTCAAACCAAACGCGTTTATAGTTTATGTATTTCTAAAAATAAACAAAAATCAGTTTATAAAATTTTTGTAAATATAAACAAAAAACGTAAACGTTACCAAATGTTACCTAATAAAATAAAAGAATTTTTTTTTAGGTTCTTAATATTAAGATTTTATAAGATAAATACATACAATATTTTCACAATAGTTGGGGTCTCTCAACATTTTTACAGAAAAATTTGACTCAGAAAAATTTGTGCTTGAATCAGAGAAATTTCAATTTTTACAGAGAAATTTTTATTTTTATAGAGAAATTTATTAGATTTCAGAGAGAAATTTCAAAATTTCTCTAATATGATCACAGAAAAATTTTATCGAGGGATATTCACTAATAAAAAAAATATATATCTTAGACTTCTCCTACTATACAAAGTTGAAGATGAATATTTCACTAATTTTTTCTAAAATGAATGAGCAAAAATATTAAAATAATATATATATATATTTGTAGATGTGATTAAAATAATTCTTATACAATATGAGCGTGGGTATGAATTTTTTTTATTTTTAATTGGCTTAGGGACATAAAGTGTAGGCTCTGTTTCGCTTTCGGGGAAATAATTAAAATAAAACTACCCTTTTCAGGTAGATCACTTCTTTTTTTTCATTTTTTTAATAACAATAATGCTAGGTAACTCAAAATTTTGTGATTCAAATGGCTCAAATCATTTAAAATGACGCCGTTTTGACAGATTTTGAGTGTAAAACGACGTCGTTTTGACAGATTTGAGCCATTTGAGTCACAAAATTTTGAGATACCAAACATTTTCCTTTTAATAATTGGTAGAAATTTAATTATAAATATAAAAACAATTACAGTAAACTGAATAAATACAATTTAAATATTGTTGGCTTTTTAATTTTCGAAAGTCAGAAATGTAATTTATGCGTGCCAGTAAGGATCAATAAGTCATTGTAAAAATTAGTAAATACCAATCAATTAGTTAGACGATTGTTTTGAAGTTTTCTTAGCCTCAATGAAGAGGACTTTATTGGCGGCTTAGTTATAAGGAGAAAGTTAAGAAGACTTAAATGGTGTTTGGGAAGAGCTAAACCAAGTTTTTTTGGGCTATTTTAGTTACAAAAGATAAAATATGCTATTTTAGCAACAAAAAATAAAACATCACATCTAACCCATAATCATTACACTCGTCTCTCACAAAAAAATTCAAAAAAGCCAAAAAGCCCTTTCCAAACCAAACTTTTTAGCCCAGGTTAAAAAAGCAAAAAAAGCTAAAAGTCAACCCACTTTTTAATCAAAGTAAAAGAAAGGGGAAATACAGTGGTAGAAATCAAACTTCATTAAGTGAGCCAAAATTTATAATAGTACCTTCGCACTTCCATAGTTTCGAAGGGGATTACATCAACGAACTACCTTAGAACTACTCTTAGGAATTTGAAGTGCAGTACAAGAATTTAAAGACTGAAATTTAGAGAACTAAAAAA